CTATTAGGTTTAAACTAGATCCTATCAGAATCGTTGGTGTGTAAGATCTGATTTTGGCGGTAACAATTACGGGCCCAGTTTTTCAGCCGCAAAGCCATCATATCAAGTTTTTTTTTTATTGCTTAGATGGGTGGACAAGCTCACAGCCCATCTGGTGTTAAATGGTTACTGCTAGCGTCCATAGACAACTACAGCTTAAATGCGCCACCCACCTTGAGATATAAGTTCTAAGGTATCAGGTATAGTTACAACGGCTTTTTTCTTTTTTTTTTTCTCGGGCCGGGGGCCGAACCTCCTACGAGGTCCCCGCGCCTAGGGGGCGCGCGGGGTATGTGAGACATAGTTACAACGGCTGCCCCAACCTTCAAACCGAAACGCATTACTGCTTCGCGGCAGAAATAGGCAGGGTGGTGGTACCTACCCGCGCGGACTCACAAGAGGTCCTGCCACCAGTAATAATCTCTATCGGCTCAAATCATCGTATCCGAAGGCGCGAACTTCAGAAAACGTTTTTCTAATCACGTGATTTCTCTCTGACACGCATAAAGAGTTCACATATGATGCATCGCGTCTATTTCTGTTTACAATCGTGTCGGAGACAATGGCCGGGCGACGCCCCCTGGCGGCCACCCAACGCACCCACGCTCGGGGGTAGAAAACAATTATAATCAATAAAAGCATGACCCTGAGCTTTGAAGCCGTAACGGGCAACGTGGTGCCGATCGAAGGTAGGATTTTGAGATAGGAGCATCTATTTAAGTAAATGTTGCATCAGTATCATGTCGAAAAACATTATAGAAGTTAATTTGAAAACTAGTCGGCCTAATATAAGTCTTTCAAAAAAGCGTGGGATTTCCGATGAGCTTTAAATAATCTTTGACAAGCAAATTAGTATTTTCCGACGGCAGCAGAGCCTGCATTAATATTAATACATTTGAACCGCCTAACGCATTGTTGGAATGATTACAAGGACACACACGTGGAGTACTAGGTCTCACCAGCGTAGAACTTTAAACAAAAAATCCAGTGTTATTAAATTTCTTCTATACTATATTTGCACAATGGTAACACTAAAACTATAACATTAATGTTTATCCAAATAAACTTTTACACCCTTTTGGGGATTTCTTTTGGGGGTTTCTAATTGCAGTTCCATCTTTCTTGTCTAAGTTGATTAAAAAAAACAACTGAAAGTCGATAGTCGAATGGTGCACATTTTTTAAAAGAAGAGCCTCATAGGGACATCTTAAACTAGGATGGGGCCCTTGGGCACACAAGAATTTGAGGCCCTTTTGAAAAGTAAAAAAAGCGAATTATAATAACATTTTTTTACTGAGTATGACTATTTCTTATAGGTAATCAAATACAGTATGATATAATATGTCATTAATGATATTTGAATGCTGCTGGTTTTTTGGTTACGTTTTCGATAACGGTTTCTTTCGGGATTTCTGTTGAGCAAAATCTTCTAAATACCTTCTAACTACTGATTTGTGAAAAAAATTGTAATGTGCCCGACAAAAATGTTTTGAGAATAAACGTGTGAGAGAAATTGTCGGTCTTTCGGGGCCCTCCTGAGAATGGGGGCCCTGGGCACGGGCTCCGTGTGCCCTTATGGTAAAGACGGTATTGCTCATAGGTACCATTTGAAAAGAGTTACACTCAAAAATCTCAAACTATGAAGGTTTTATGTCAATTCTAAGTACCTATTAAAATAAATAATAGTTTAAACAAAAGCGTGGGGTGCTTTTCAGGATATTATCAAAATAACTCTTTTACTCATATCTGTTCATAAAATATTTATAACTACTGATACCATGCACCCCACGCTTTTTTACAATAAAATCATTTTTTCTTACACTATTTTTAATTCAAATTTATTAAAATTAATTTTCTATTTTTTAGTTGAACTTTCTATAAAAGCGTATTTTGTTAGTTTTTTTAAACTATTATTTATTTTTCATTCTTTAGTTGAATTTAAATTTTTTAATTTTTTAATATTGAATTGTCATTGGTCCTTATTAAGTATACCAAATTTCGAGTTAATCCGACGTTTTGAAGGGGATCAAAATCATGTTCAAAGATTCCGTTACATACTAACATACATACGTCTGAAGCTAATAAAAGCGTATGAATAAAACGGCAATTTCATATTTTAACCCCTATTATTTTCTGTGTGTTGACTTTAGTGTTTTGTAAGTATACGGGGTATGTGCGAGTTCTCTGGTGCAGTGCAGTGGTTGAACCGGGAAGCGCGTATTGTCCGAGAATTTTCTCATTTCCACACTAGCGGGCGTCGGCCCGGCCGCTGACCTCGGCTCCGTGGCTTTCCACGAGATCCCGCGGCTAGCAACCGATCTAGGGTGTTCGCGGCTTATTATTGTTCACCAACTCTATGCAACAATTTAAATTTGGATTGAAGACGCTCACACAACTTAACCTCGTGTGCATATAATTATTTCCACGTGATTGACGATTCAATTGAACCCTGTTTGTTAATGAGAGCGATTAAGATTCTGCTATTTTTATTTTTCAATTTCTTTTATTGCTTCGCGAATACAAGTCGTTACGTGACGTTTAAAGTGCCTAGAATCTTCGTCAATAAACTTGTTAGCTAAAGTTTTGTTTTGTTTTTGAAAATTCTCCAGCTTTTTCATTGGACGGACAGGTTCGTCAAAAACCTCAGTGCAAAATTCAAATCAAGATTCAACTAGACCAAACTAAATTGTATTTACACCAAAAAAAATTTTTTATTGTTTAGATGGGTGGACGAGCTCACAGCTCACCTGGCGTTAAGTGGTAACTGAAGCCCATAGACATGTACAACGTAAATGCGCCACCCAACTTGAGATATGAGTTCTAAGATCTCAGTATAGTTACAACGGCTGCCCCACCCTTCAAACCGAAACGAATTACTGCTTCACGGCAGAAATAGGCAGGGTGGGGATACCTACACGTGCGGACTCACAAGAGGTCCTAACATAGAGCTGTTATAGAGCAAATAGACCAGGACACTAAAAATTGTTATAGTGAAAGTAATAGTAATATTATCTAAAGTACCTTCGTGTAATATATAAATAATATATATACATGGCTACGCAAAGACATTTCAGCACAATTTTCATCACAGCTCGTCAAGCGATTTTCATTTGATTTAATAGCTAAAGAGCTTCTCGAAATACAAAATAATCATAGTCTTTTTGAAAATGTCAATACCAAAGCAAAAGGGAAAATGTAAGACGCTAAAGCAATCTAATGAGTCAGTAATTATCGTCGAATGTAAAATAAAAACCAGAAACATTAATTAAAATATATTTACTTAAAAATAATTAAACAAATCTATTTACTAATTCATGATGACTGTAGCCTTGCAAAAGCATATCACATCTTATTCTAATGAGACGCAGATACAATTGACGTATATATTTCCAACGTGTTTCAAATGTCTCCTTCACATCCATTTTAGGATTACCCTCCACAATGTCAATCTCTACTACTTAAGGCCACGTACCACCCGGATTGAACCGGTGATTGCGTGACACGTGCTTTATACTCGGTTTCAAATGGAGGCACCTTACATCCCAGCATCGTTAACGACTGACGAACTTGACTTGCCAACACGCATCCTCCACTATTAAAAATATAAATGCGTTCTTAACGCATTTTCAACTGTGAGCACCCGTGAACACACATCACACGTCGCAGTGCTCTCGAGTGTCGTCAAATATACAAAAAAAAACATCTACGAGACGTGAACTGTCAGATTATTTACAATAAGCCTTCCTTCTGTGATAAATCGTATCAAAGTGTTTTTTACAAAGCCTTCAATATTTTATCGTTTTTGTAAACACACTATCACAATCAGTGCGTGATAAAATATTATTTCTATTCTATCTTACTATCTAATAGTAACTGTGATGATAGAAACTAAATGTAACGAAATCTCATTTAAGTTTAAATCAAAATAATCCACGCTATATGTACAATTAGGATGAGGCTTTATGGCCTTGGAGTCTTGAGCCAGTTTTACCAATCACCGGGAATCCCCTAACAGTGTTTAAGGGGGCCGACAAAAAAAAAACAATATCCGAAAATAATATCATCCATTTTTAAACGTTATAAAATTCAAGTAACCAGAATTTGACGAATCACATACTAATCTATTCTCCCACGTATCATTACATTAATATAATTACATGTAGATCAGAAAATTTGTTTCTTCTAAAAATAAAGATTCCTCCTCGTTGCGTCAATAATCCTTAATGCTGAGGGTCGTGGCCTCGTCTAACAACTTTCTCCTGGATTATCCTGCGCCGCTCCTGCCTATCCTCGGCTGTGTGGATAGCAACGTGGACTGAAGTGTTGAGAGTGGAACGTATCTGGTCCGACCAGCGCATTGGACTTCTGCCTATGGGCCTTCTTAAAGATTATTGGACCAAAAATATTTTAAAGTCGTTTTCAAAATAGACAATAATGGTTACAAGCCAGTTTTATCGCCTTAGCGTCCTTATTAAAATTAGCGCACTGAGCAATTAATCAATTAATAATCAAAAGAACCAGGATTCGAATAATACAGAATAGTCTAAATCTAAATCCGCCACCGGAGTAGAGTTCATCCATACTACCTGGAGCCACTGCGGTCATCCACAGTGCGTTTCCAGAGATCTTTTTTGCCACGTACCATCCGGCTATGGAATGAGCTCCCCTCCAAGGTGTTTCCCGAGCGCTATGTCCTTCTTCAAACGAGGCTTGTGGAGAGTATTAAGCGGTAGGCAGCGGCTTGGCTCTGCCCCTGGCATTGCTGAAGTCCATGGGCGACGGTAACCACTCACCATCAGGTGGGCCGTATGCCCGTCTGCCTACAAAGGCAATAAAAAAAAAAAAAGTCTAATTTATTTTACTTAAATCACAAGTACATCACCTTTTTTTTGCAGAGATTCGAATATATTTTTTCCGATATAATATGCATCAATTTACATTAATTATATTACATTTTACGCTGGAATACTTAAAAACTAATTAAATGTAAACAAACATATTTTAATCAGAGAAACCGTTTAAATAACAATTTCTAGCAGAGTTAGTCTGATGCTGCCATAGTTCAATTGATGCCACCAATATTATGGTGTAGTTTACAAAATTACCAGAACGCAACGATAGAGTTGTGCTCCTGCGTATATTATCGTTCCACTATGTTAATGATTACGACGTGCTCACCTCTGACCAGTAACTGGGGTAAATATCGAGTGCATTGCCACATTCCTTTGCCGAGCGGATTTTCAATGACCTTAGGAACGGTCGATATAGTCGATGCTGTACCCTTAGGAACTGGTCTACCTGTTTATCAATTTCACAATTTTACTGGTGGTAGGACCTCTTGTGAGTCCGCGCGGGTAGGCACCACCGCCCTGCCTATTTCTGCCGTGAAGCAGTAATGCGTTTCGGTTTGAAGGGTGGGGCAGCCGCTGTAACTATACTGAGATCTTAGAACTTATATCTCAAGGTGGGTGGCGCATTTACGTTGTAGATCTCCATGGGCTCCAGTAACCACTTAACACCAGGTGGGCTGGAGCTCGTCCACACATCTATGCAATAAAAAAAAAAAATCGTAGACACAGGAGTTATTTAAAAATGACGTCATTTATTGGGCAGTTCTCAGCAGGAGGTCATATTGGTGGTAGGATATGTTGTGAGTCTGCATGGGCTGGTTTCACTTGTCTGCATATTTCTGGCGTTAATTTAATAGGGCCAAAAGTCCAGTAGGGAACAAACACTGTGCACACATTGTTCAAATATTGTACTGTAAAAACGGACACCTTAGAACTACTATCTCAAGGTACGTGGTAACATTTACGTTGTAGATGACTATAGGCTCCGATAACCACTTAACATCGGATAGGCTGTGAACTCGTAAACCCACCTGGACAAAAAAAATACATATATTATTTTCACCACCATGCTTACTTTATGCCACGAAGCAGTCATGTTTTTCGGTTACAAAAATGGGATGGCAGTTTTTCCATTCGCCCTTTACTTGTTTCAAAGTTGGCAGTGTCATAAAATTCGTCATGTCCATGGGCTACGAAAACCATTTGACACTGAGCTAAGTAAACTAATTAATGTATGATCATTATAAAAAAACAACAGAAACAAATATTAAAGTGATCATAACAATTACCGACGGCCGGGGGTATTTTCCTTTTATTTGGCGATTTTCGTGTCCATTCCTCCACAACGTCGCTAAGTGCTAGATTCCATTGCTTATCGAAAGCCACCAGGGTAGCGTGGAGGAGCCCTCTGATCCCTTTCTCATTCCTAGTTGTTACCTAAAACAAATAACAATGATTAGCTTTGTTATCGTGAAACATAATTGAACTATGTATATTTAAGTCACAGAAAATTTCTTTAACACTTTTGTGTTATCAGTTATTATCCATAGGTAGCAAATTTTAATTCGCACTTCGATGCCAAATTAGACTGGCACCAGCCATTTCGAACTGTGAAGGAATCATGAAGCAGTACAATTCTGCTAAACGAACTAACGCTAGCTCGTTTTTTTTTTGTTATAAGAATCCCAAATCAATATCTGATTGCTAATGTCCAAAAGTCAGTTATCGTAATCGAGATTAACCGAATGTCTGTGTTGTTCTAGGACGGGCTGGCGACGCGGGAGGAGCACTGATTGTGTTCAGCTACATTGCTTGTTAGCGTCTTGCTGAGGATAAACCTTTCATGGTTTTGGTAAGTGTTGTTTAAGAATATTTGCACGAGTTGTGTTCACGGGCATTACAAATCCGAACCTCAAAATCTAGGGTAAGATTTTAGGTAAGATTTTTACCGGCTCCAAGTCATTATGTTAGGCCTTTTGCTTTACGAAATGAGCTATTTGTTGATCAGTTTGAATAAGTGAGCATACAAAATTGGCTATTCGAGACAAAGGTAAACAAACACAGATCCTGTCTAAATAAAGTTTAGATTATAAATAATTTGGAACGTTTCAATGTATTCAGATTGACTCGGATTAGCCAATTAGTATTTATTATACGGAATATAATGACTACCACGTTTAACGAAAATTTTAACGCACGTTTTAAAAGACAGAATAGAAATGAACCAATTTTATTCACTTTAGTTTAGCAGTAATTAAAAAACTTTATTTTATGTCTTGTATTAAAGGTTAATTCTATGACCGGTTTCAATACAAGTAACTATTATTATTAGTACGACTGGTTCAGTGGCGTAATATATAGTACGTCTGTCTGACTACTGGACCGAAAGTAGTGCTGGCTCGTGAGTTAGATTCTCACATCGGGATAATATTCATCTGACGAACTGGTTTGTTCGGTCTTTGTCTGAATTTTTTTTCCTACCTATGCTGATAGCATTGAGAGACTATATCAGCTTCGCCCTAACGTGTAGGTGAGCTCACGGGGCTCAAACCGGAGTGGTGCTAAGACTGGCCTTAGGAAGAGCAGCGCTTCGCAGAATCTACCATCGGATCGGAAACGCGACCCACTGAGAAGATTCGGCGAGAAACTCAGTGGGCTGTGTCTGTGGGCTAATTCGCTCGTCGAGCCCTTCGTCGCAAGCGACGGGTTCGGCGAGGGCGGTGACCGGAGCATTTCTGATATCTCTTAAGTACATACATTTATGAGTTTTTTTTTTAATTTTGTTAAAGGCTTAAATGGTTGGACGATCTTACAGCCCACCTTGAGATATGAGTTCTAAGGTCTCAGTATAGTTACAACGGCTGCCCTACCTTGCAACCGAAATGCATTACTGCTTCACGGCAGACATAGACAGGGTTGTGGTACCTACCCGTGCGGAGGGTATATAGCAGTCTCTAGCTCCCACACTACAGGAAAATCTAGCTTGCGGTCAGATGGCCGACACTACGTGATTTGTCCTATCATTATTGCTCTTATAATTTTTACCGAAAATCAACAAGCTTTTATTATTTTAAAGAAATACTGAGAAAGCTCATAAACACCATCGAACACCTCGTTCCCACGTTGACTGTCACTCGACATTTCGTCTGCGCTCGTGAAAGGATCCACAGTTTACAGATACGATTGCGTCGGTCGCACGAGTCAATAAACCAAAATAATTGCCTCAATAACTCAAACTGATATGTATCACATCTAAAATCAGAGTGTTCAACTAAACATGACCTACATACACCGTGATTTGTGTATTTTTATTAGCGGTCGTGAAATTACCATTAAAAACATCTAGCAGGTTAAAAATATACGTGTGTCTGACGCACGTGACGTCATTTCTTTAGTGAACATCAAAAATAACCGTCAGCCTAAATTGTTTTATGGCACTGGATTGGTGGACGTTGTTACCACACATGGAGTTATGTGGTTACTGTAGTCCATAGACATCACAATGGGAGTTTCACCAAGTAGCTCAAAACATAAAGTAAAAGACCCAGTTGTATTGAATAATGGCCGTCTTCAAATTCCAATGCCTTACAGTTTCGTGGTAGAAATGACACGATGGTAGGTACAGGCCTAGCCATGCGGGCTCACAATCATATCAAAGACCCATGAATAGCAATTAAGATATGTATAGGCATAGGATAGTGTGGCCTATTTTTATGATTCACCAGTGACATTCGCGCAAAAATATCCAATCCTAAAATAGAACCGGTTCAGTGTCAATGGTAGCAATAAAAAAGAGGTTATTTTGTTTTGAACAAAAGTAAAAGTATCGTTGTTCACTAGGGCTCTGACGGTCAAGGACGATGCGATGGTGAATGTGTTTAAAGAATAAACCTAGTACCTTTTCGTTCCTTTTATGTAAAACTGACATGGATCGGTATATTCGTCCTTAAAGAACTTAAAAGTCTGGAATTTTTGATTGAATCTGCCAAGTCTGATGAGGCCTTATGGATGATGACCAATTTAAGTGTTTGCGTGATTTTGGTAGGGTGTATGGTGTGGCGGCCGGTTTGGTATCATATCAAGCAGTGGCAGCTTTTGTTGGAGTAACGACACATATTAGACGGGGCAAAAGCTTAACGTGCTTTAACCACCATTTGAATTTAGTACCTAGCTGCTATGCTAGCTGCTATTTTTGTATAAAGTACCAAATTTGGCGAAGTTGAAGAACTCACTGTTGACACAACAGAGGACATGCTAACTTCGTTAGTAGGATACCAAATTCTAGTACTAGCACCTGAGGACGGGCATTAAGTCTTGTCGCGAATTATAGCGCTAATTAAAAGTACAATGATTTTTGTTTATATGATACATTGTCTACAAGTCATCAGATAAATAAAGTGGAAATTCAATGAAGTGTATACGGGCCGTTACATCGTATTTATCATGACGGAAGACGCCGCGGCCTCGTCAGGGGCCGATTCAATTCGTAAGTGTCTCGCCAAGGTCCCCGGGCCACATTTAAACGCTTCGCTATCGTGTTGTATGGAAACTTTTCGAGTTTCCCTTCTACGTATCACCTGTTTGAGTTTTGGAGATCCGAGAGCGATGCTTTAGACGGAAAACTGGCCTTATTTCCTTGGAATAAATTATGTCAAGGCGAAAACGCCTTTTAAAAAAATGAAGGTGGATTTTTAATGATCCATAAAGCTGGTTCGATATCAAACTCATTGATGTGCTTTCAGTTTTTTAAAGAGTCATTTCAAATGTGAGGCGTGCACGCTAGTCTTCCTTTGGCAGATTGTCAACAGCGTATTTAATATTATTAATGGCACAGATAGAAATGTTTAAGACCGATTGCTCGTTTGCAGAAATTTAATAAGCGCGCTTGAACATTTGCTGGTCTGTGAAGTTCAGCGCTCCTAATTGGCAATATTTTGATAAGTACAGAGTCAGACTCCGGGTTCTGCTGTGCCTAATGTCATTAGTAACAGTTAACTGGCATCCGTCGTTTATACATTTGCATATTCGGAATATCCAGAATCCTTCTAGGCGCAAAGTCTTTGTCTGGCCTCAACACGTGCATACTCGTATATGACTATCGACCATTTGCAATTTCAAAATTGCTCAATATTGCCCGAGCGCCCCTAACTCTTTTTAGTACACAATCCAGTGAACGAGCACATTGATTACCCGGTGATAAGTTGCTATCGAAATCAAGAGCCTTCGCGGCAAATATAGGCAGGATACTGGTTGGTACCCACAGGTGCAGCCTATTTTTAATTTTATTAAACTAAAAACAATCTAAAAAACCTTGCAAACGACTCGTTAGCTAAACGGGAAAAATCTTAACTCTCCACCGATCATTGCTCACAAGAACTTTATTGCCGAACACACAATCTTTGTTCTTGACATCTGAGTTCCATTAAGGCTCCCGCGTCATCTTCGAGGTCAGTACGGATTTAAAAAAGCGAATTAACGATATATTCTGCGAGGAAGACGCAGGTTTTATTGCACCAAATAAGGGCAATGTAAATATAATCTTTAAAGTTCGAATGACGGAACGTATCGCGATCTCTTCCTGGTTGAAAGTCGCCGTGTGGTCCAAGGTCGGCTCGGGGCGTCGCTTGTTGTGTGAGGCGCTTACGTCACTATTAACATTTCGCTGCAGTCAAGTTGGAACGTTGTCGTCATTTCAGAAATATAAAAATTAACTAAATAAACACGATAGCCGACATAATGTCTTTGGAGTACAGGTGACCCTCCTAAAACACGGTGTTTTATAGGACGGTTCCACTCTAAGTCGAAAAGAAAACTTTTCCAAAACCCTCTTAAAACACGGCACTTCTTTACTAACAAAACGTTATGGTCTATACTGAAATAAAGTATTAATAATAATAGTAATAATAATGATATCGTCCGACCGTGAGTAAGCGATCGATTCTATACCAAATTTTAGGGCAAAATTAAAACATTTAACCCAAGTTGACGACGCTTTGATTTTTCTCAATCGATACACACAACACAATATTTTTCATCGCTAACTGTACGCCACCCCAATATATATATAGATATACATAGCATCCGTTCATTAAAGAACTGTCAGCAATGGACTCTTTTAGCGACCAGACCACATATAATACGTGTACAAAAATTTATTAAATTCGCTACCTACCTTTTTCAAACGTCAACACTTAATATTTCGTGCATTAAGATGTACATAACGATACCTCATTTGCAATTATGAGATAATTAGTTTCAGAGTTGCGAGGTAATTAATAATCAGTAAACCTTCTATAAAGCATGTCTCATTTCACTATGTATGTTGATTTACAAATGCGCAAATATTTTTTCGTTCATTTCTCGAACGAATCTCGAGAGTAGATCCCTGACACTGACAAGCTATTTATGAATAGTTATTCATTAGCTTCAACGTTCGGAAATAGTGTATAAACATTTTACTATATATTAACATCATTATTTCATTTTTCTCGGAACGGCAGGCAATTCGAAGACTCGAAGATTCTAGAACGGGCCTCTATGTTTTGTTGTCTTTTTGCCAGACCTGAACTGGTTCTTGAACTTAATGGGTACCAGATACTTTAGGTCAACGTAAACAAACAATGACATTCACTTACTAATCTGAGCATAAGCTGTTGTCGTTTTCCGGTGCTTCGAATCCCGCAGGCGAGTACCAATTTTTCTAATTAAATACGTACTTAACAAATGTTCGCGATTGACTTCCACGGTGAAGGAATAACATCGTGTAATAAAAATCAAACTCGCAAAATTATAATTTGCGTAATTACTTGTGGTAGGATCACTTGTGAGTACGCACGGGTAGGTACCACCGCC